AACTTAAATTTGCCTACCCCCTTAATCTTATTTTGTCAATTTCACAATTTCAGTTTTTTAACCGTAACTTCCGATTTTCGACATAAACTACTCTGGAGATTTTCCTAAACGATGCGCCAATGTCTCCTATACAACACCTATATAGTCGTTGCCCGTCACAATCTCTTGAAGTTGGTCTAAAATTAACTTAAATTGGCCTAACCCCCAATCTCATTTTGTCAATTTCACAATTTCAGTTTTTTACCGTAACTTCAGATTTTCAAATATAAACCACTCTGGAGATTTTCTTAAACGATGCGCCATTGTCTCCTCTACAACACCTATATAGTCGTTGCCCGTCACAATCTCTTGAAATTGGTCCAAAATTAACTTAAATTTGCCTACCCCCTCTAATCTCATTTTGTCAATTTTACAATTTCAGTTTTTTAACTATAACTTCAGATTTTCGAACATAAACCACTCTGGAGATTTTCCTAAACGATGCGCTAATGTCTCCTCTACAACACCTATATAGTCGTTGCCCGTCATAATCTCTTTAAAATATTCCAAATTTTTCTTTTAGTGCCCTACCCCCCTAATCTCATTTTGTCAATTTCACAATAAAATTTTCAGTTTTTTAACCGTAACTTCAGATTTTCGAACATAAACCACTCTGGAGATTTTTCTAAACGATGCGCCACTGTCTCCTCTACAACACCTATATAGTCGTTGCCCGTCACAATCTCTTGAAGTTGGTCCAAAATTAACTTAAATTGGCCTACCCCCCAATCTCATTTTGTCAATTTTACAATTTCATTTTTTTAACCGTAACTTCAGATTTTCGAACATAAACCACTCTGGAGATTTTTTTAAACGATGCGACAATGTCTCCTTTACATCACCTTTATAGTTGTTGCCCGTCACAATCTCTTTAAAATGGTCCAAATTTTTCTATTAGTGCCCTACCCCCCTAATCTCATTTTGTCAATTTCACAATAAAATTTTCAGTTTTTTAACCGTAACTTCAGATTTTTGAACATAAACCACTCTGGAGTTTTTCTTACACGATGCGCCAATGTCTCCTCTACAACACATTTATAGTCGTTGCCCGTCACAATCTCTTTAAAATAGTCAAAATTTTTCTTTTAGTGCCCTACCCTCCTAATCTCATTTTGTCAATTTCACAATAAAAGTTTCAGTTTTTTAACCGTAACTTCAGATTTTCGAACATAAACCACTCTGGAGATTTTCCTAAACGAAACGCCAATGTCTCCTCTACAACATCTATATAGTCGTTTCCCGTCACAATTTCTTCAAGTTGGTCTAAAATTTACTTAAATTGGCCTAACCCCCAATCTCATTTTGTCAATTTCACAATTTCCGTTTTTTAACCGTAACTTCAGATTTTCGAACATAAACCACTCTGGAGATTTTTCTAAACGATGCGCCAATGTCTCATCTACAACACCTATATAGTCGTTGCCCGTCACAATCTCTTGATATTGGTACAAAATTAACTTAAATTTGCCTACCCCCTTAATCTCATTTTGTCAATTTCACAATTTCAGTTTTTTAACCGTAACTTCAGATTTTCGAACATAAACCACTCTGGAGATTTTCCTAAACGATGCGATAATGTCTCCTCTACATTACCTATATAGTCGTTGCCCGTCACAATCTCTTGAAATTGGTCCAAAACTAACTTAAATTGGCCTACCCCCAAATCTCATTTTGTAAATTATACAATTTCAGATTTCTAACCGTATCTTCAGATTTTCGAACATAAACCACTCTGGAGATTTTCCTAAACGATGCGATAATGTGTCCTCTACAACACCTATATAGTCGTTGCCCGTCACAATCTCTTGAAATTGGTACAAAATTAACTTAAATTTGCCTACCCCCTTAATCTCATTTTGTCAATTTCACAATTTCAGTTTTTTAACCGTAACTTCAGATTTTCGAACATAAACCACTCTGGAGATTTTCTTAAACGATGCGCCAATGTCTCCTCTACAACACCTATATAGTCGTTGCCCGTCACAATCTCTTTAAAATGGTCCAAATTTTTCTATTAGTGCCCTACCCCCCTAATCTCATTTTGTCAATTTCACAATAAAAGTTTCAGTTTTTTAACCTTAACTTCAGATTTTTGAACATAAACCACTCTGGAGATTTTCTTACACGATGCGCCAATGTCTCCTCTACAACACCTATATAGTCGTTGCCCGTCACAATCTCTTTAAAATAGTCAAAATTTTTCTTTTAGTGCCCTACCCCCCTAATCTCATTTTGTCAATTTCACAATAAAATTTTCAGTTTTTTAACCGTAACTTCAGATTTTCGAACATAAACCACTCTGGAGATTTTCCTAAACGATGCGCCATTGTCTCCTCTACAACACCTATTTAATCGTTGCCAGTCACAATCTCTTGAAATTGGTACAAAATTAACTTAAATTTGCCTACCCCCTTCATCTCATTTTGTCAATTTCACAATTTCAGTTTTTTAACCGTAACTTCAGATTTTCGAACATAAACCACTCTGGAGATTTTCTTAAACGATGCGCCAATGTCTCCTCTACAACACATATATAGTCGTTGCCCGTCACCATATCTTTAAAATAGTCCAAATTTTTCTTTTAGTGCCCTACCCTCCTAATCTCATTTTGTCAATTTCACAATAAAAGTTTCAGTTTTTTAACCGTAACTTCAGATTTTCGAACATAAACCACTCTGGAGATTTTTCTAAACGATGCGCCATTGTCTCCTCTACAACACCTATATAGTCGTTGCCCGTCACAATCTCTTGAAATTGGTCCAAAATTAACTTAAATTGGCCTACCCCCAAATCTCATTTTGTAAATTATACAATTTCAGATTTTTAACCGTATCTTCAGATTTTCGAACATAAACCACTCTGGAGATTTTCCTAAACGATGCGCCATTGTCTCCTCTACAACACCTATATAGTCGTTGCCCGTCACAATCTCTTGAAGTTGGTCCAAAATTAACTTAAATTGGCCTAACCCCCCATCTCATTTTGTCAATTTCACAATTTCAGTTTTTTAACCGTAACTTCAAATTTTCGAACAAAAACCACTCTGGAGATTTTCTTAAACGATGCGCCATTGTCTCCTCTACAACACCTTTATAGTCGTTGCCCGTTACAATCTCTTGAAATTGGTCCAAAATTAACTTAAATTGGCCTACCCCCAAATCTCATTTTGTCAATTATACAATTTCAGTTTTTTAACCGTAACTTCAGATTTTCGAACATAAACCACTCTGGAGATTTTCCTAAACGATGCGATAATGTCTCCTCTACAACACTTATATAGTCGTTGCCCGTCACAATCTCTTGAAATTGGTACAAAATTAACCTAAATTTGCCTACCCCCTTAATCTCATTTTGTCAATTTCACAATTTCAGTTTTTTAACCGTAACTTCAGATTTTCGAACATAAACCACTCTGGAGATTTTCTTAAACGATGCGCCAATGTCTCCTCTACAACACCTATATAGTCGTTGCCCGTCACAATCTCTTTAAAATAGTCCAAATTTTTCTTTTAGTGCCCTACCCCCCCTAATCTCATTTTGTCAATTTCACAATAAAATTTTCAGTTTTTTAACCGTAACTTCAGATTTTCGAACATAAACCACTCTGGAGATTTTCCTAAACGATGCGCCATTGTCTCCTCTACAACACCTATATAATCGTTGCCCGTCACAATCTCTTGAGGTTGGTCCAAAATTAACTTAAATTGGCCTAGCCCCCCAATCACATTTTGTCAATTTCACAATTTCAGTTTTTTAACCGTAACTTCAGATTTTCGAACATAAACCACTCTGGAGATATTTTTAAACGATGCGCCATTGTCTCCTCTACAACACCTTAATAGTCGTTGCCCGTCACAATCTCTTGAAATTGGTCCAAAATTAACTTAAATTGGCCTACCCCCAAATCTCATTTTGTCAATTATACAATTTCAGATTTTTTACCGTAACTTCAGATTTTCGAACATAAACCATTCTGGAGATTTTCCTAAACGATGCGCCAATGTCTCCTCTACAACACTTATATATAGTCGTTGCCCGTCACAATCTCTTGAAATTGGTACAAAATTAACTTAAATTTGCCTACCCCCTTAATCTCATTTTGTCAATTTCACAATTTCAGTTTTTTAACCGTAACTTCAGATTTTCGAACATAAACCACTCTGGAGATTTTCTTAAACGATGCGCCAATGTCTCCTCTACAACACCTATATAATCGTTGCCCGTCACAATCTCTTTAAAATAGTCCAAATTTTTCTTTTAGTGCCCTACCCTCCTAATCTCATTTTGTCAATTTCACAATAAAAGTTTCAGTTTTTTAACCGTAACTTCAGATTTTTGAACATAAACCACTCTGGAGATTTTCCTAAACGATGCGCCATTGTCTCCTCTACAACACCTATATAGTCGTTGCCCGTCACAATCTCTTGAAATTGGTCCAAAATTAACTTAAATTGGCCTACCCCCAAATCTCATTTTGTAAATTATACAATTTCAGATTTTTAACCGTATCTTCAGATTTTCGAACATAAACCACTCTGGAGATTTTCCCAAACGATGCGCCATTGTCTCCTCTACAACACCTATATAGTCGTTGCCCGTCACAATCTCTTGAAGTTGGTCCAAAATTAACTTAAATTGGCCTAACCCCTTAATCTCATTTTGTCAATTTCACAATTTCAGTTTTTTAACCGTAACTTCAGATTTTCGAACATAAACCACTCTGGAGATTTTCTTAAACGATGCGCCATTGTCTCCTCTACAACACCTATATAGTCGTTGCCCGTTACAATCTCTTGAAATTGGTCCAAAATTAACTAAAATTGGCCTACCCCCAAATCTCATTTTGTCAATTATACAATTTCAGATTTTTAACCGTAACTTCAGATTTTCGAACATAAACCACTCTGGAGATTTTCCTAAACGATGCGCCAATGTCTCCTCTACAACACTTATACATAGTCGTTGCCCGTCACAATCTCTTGAAATTGGTACAAAATTAACTTAAATTTGCCTACCCCCTTAATCTCATTTTGTCAATTTCACAATTTCAGTTTTTTAACCGTAACTTCAGATTTTCGAACATAAACCACTCTGGAGATTTTCTTAAACGATGCGCCAATGTCTCCTCTACAACACCTATATAGTCGTTGCCCGTCACAATCTCTTTAAAATGGTCCAAATTTTTCTATTAGTGCCCTACCCCCCTAATCTCATTTTGTCAATTTCACAATAAAATTTTCAGTTTTTTAACCGTAACTTCAGATTTTTGAACATAAACCACTCTGGAGATTTTCTTACACGATGCGCCAATGTCTCCTCTACAACACCTATATAGTCGTTGCCCGTCACAATCTCTTTAAAATGGTCCAAATTTTTCTATTAGTGCCTCACCCCCCTAATCTCATTTTGTCAATTTCACAATAAAATTTTCAGTTTTTTAACCGTAACTTCAGATTTTCGAACATAAACCATTCTGGAGATTTTCCTAAACGATGCGCCAATGTCTCCTCTACAACACTTATATATAGTCGTTGCCCGTCACAATCTCTTGAAATTGGTACAAAATTAACTTAAATTTGCCTACCCCCTTAATCTCATTTTGTCAATTTCACAATTTCAGTTTTTTAACCGTAACTTCAGATTTTCGAACATAAACCACTCTGGAGATTTTCTTAAACGATGCGCCAATGTCTCCTCTACAACACCTTTATAGTCGTTGCCCGTCACAATCTCTTTAAAATAGTCCAAATTTTTCTTTTAGTGCCCTACCCTCCTAATCTCATTTTGTCAATTTCACAATAAAAGTTTCAGTTTTTTAACCGTAACTTCAGATTTTTGAACATAAACCACTTTGGAGATTTTCCTAAACGATGCGCCATTGTCTCCTCTACAACACCTATATAGTCGTTGCCCGTCACAATCTCTTGAAATTGGTCCAAAATTAACTTAAATTGGCCTACCCCCAAATCTCATTTTGTAAATTATACAATTTCAGATTTTTAACCGTATCTTCAGATTTTCGAACATAAACCACTCTGGAGATTTTCCCAAACGATGCGCCATTGTCTCCTCTACAACACCTATATAGTCGTTGCCCGTCACAATCTCTTGAAGTTGGTCCAAAATTAACTTAAATTGGCCTAACCCCTTAATCTCATTTTGTCAATTTCACAATTTCAGTTTTTTAACCGTAACTTCAGATTTTCGAACATAAACCACTCTGGAGATTTTCTTAAACGATGCGCCATTGTCTCCTCTACAACACCTATATAGTCGTTGCCCGTTACAATCTCTTGAAATTGGTCCAAAATTAACTAAAATTGGCCTACCCCCAAATCTCATTTTGTCAATTATACAATTTCAGATTTTTAACCGTAACTTCAGATTTTCGAACATAAACCACTCTGGAGATTTTCCTAAACGATGCGCCAATGTCTCCTCTACAACACTTATACATAGTCGTTGCCCGTCACAATCTCTTGAAATTGGTACAAAATTAACTTAAATTTGCCTACCCCCTTAATCTCATTTTGTCAATTTCACAATTTCAGTTTTTTAACCGTAACTTCAGATTTTCGAACATAAACCACTCTGGAGATTTTCTTAAACGATGCGCCAATGTCTCCTCTACAACACCTATATAGTCGTTGCCCGTCACAATCTCTTTAAAATGGTCCAAATTTTTCTATTAGTGCCCTACCCCCCTAATCTCATTTTGTCAATTTCACAATAAAATTTTCAGTTTTTTAACCGTAACTTCAGATTTTTGAACATAAACCACTCTGGAGATTTTCTTACACGATGCGCCAATGTCTCCTCTACAACACCTATATAGTCGTTGCCCGTCACAATCTCTTTAAAATGGTCCAAATTTTTCTATTAGTGCCTCACCCCCCTAATCTCATTTTGTCAATTTCACAATAAAATTTTCAGTTTTTTAACCGTAACTTCAGATTTTCGAACATAAACCACTCTGGAGATTTTCCTAAACGATGCGCCATTGTCTCCTCTACAACACCTATATAATCGTTGCCCGTCACAATCTCTTGAAGTTGGTCCAAAATTAACTTAAATTGGCCTAACCCCCAAATCTCATTTTGTCAATTTCACAATTTCAGTTTTTTAACCGTAACTTCAGATTTTCGAACATAAACCACTCTGGAGATTTTCCTAAACGATGCGCCATTGTCTCCTCTACAACACCTATATAATCGTTGCCCGTCACAATCTCTTGAAGTTGGTCCAAAATTAACTTAAATTGGCCTACCCCCAAATCTCATTTTGTCAATTATATAATTTCAGATTTTTAACCGTATCTTCAGATTTTCGAACATAAACCACTCTGGAGATTTTCCTAAACGATGCGCCAATGTCTCCTCTACAACACTTATATATAGTCGTTGCCCGTCACAATCTCTTGAAATTGGTCCAAAATTAACTTAAATTGGCCTACCCCCTTAATCTCATTTTGTCAATTTCACAATTTCAGTTTTTTAACCGTAACTTCAGATTTTCGAACATAAACCACTCTGGAGATTTTCTTAAACGATGCGCCAATGTCTCCTCTACAACACCTATATAGTCGTTGCCCGTCACAATCTCTTTAAAATGGTCCAAATTTTTCTATTAGTGCCCTACCCCCCTAATCTCATTTTGTCAATTTCACAATAAAATTTTCAGTTTTTTAACCGTAACTTCAGATTTTTGAATATAAACCACTCTGGAGATTTTCTTACACGATGCGCCAATGTCTCCTCTACAACACCTATATAGTCGTTGCCCGTCACAATCTCTTTAAAATGGTCCAAATTTTTCTATTAGTGCCTCACCCCCCTAATCTCATTTTGTCAATTTCACAATAAAATTTTCAGTTTTTTAACCGTAACTTCAGATTTTCGAACATAAACCACTCTGGAGATTTTCCTAAACGATGCGCCATTGTCTCCTCTACAACACCTATATAATCGTTGCCCGTCACAATCTCTTGAAGTTGGTCCAAAATTAACTTAAATTGGCCTAACCCCCAAATCTCATTTTGTCAATTTCACAATTTCAGTTTTTTAACCGTAACTTCAGATTTTCGAACATAAACCACTCTGGAGATTTTCTTAAACGATGCGCCATTGTCTCCTCTACAACACCTATATAGTCGTTGCCCGTTACAATCTCTTGAAATTGGTCCAAAATTAACTTAAATTGGCCTACCCCAAATCTCATTTTGTCAGTTATATAATTTCAGATTTTTAACCGTAACTTCAGATTTTCGAACATAAACCACTCTGGAGATTTTCCTAAACGATGCGCCAATGTCTCCTCTACAACACTTATATATAGTCGTTGCCCGTCACAATCTCTTGAAATTGGTACAAAATTAACTTAAATTTGCCTACCCCCTTAATCTCATTTTGTCAATTTCACAATTTCAGTTTTTTAACCGTAACTTCAGATTTTCGAACATAAACCACTCTGGAGATTTTCTTAAACGATGCGCCAATGTCTCCTCTACAACACCTATATAGTCGTTGCCCGTCACAATCTCTTTAAAATGGTCCAATTTTTCTATTAGTGCCCTTCCCCCCTAATCTCATTTTGTCAATTTCACAATAAAATTTTCAGTTTTTTAACCGTAACTTCAGATTTTCGAACATAAACCACTCTGGAGATTTTCTTACACGATGGGCCAATGTCTCCTCTACAACACCTATATAGTCGTTGCCCGTCACAATCTCTTTAAAATAGTCCAAATTTTTCTTTTAGTGCCCTACCCCCCTAATCTTATTTTGTCAATTTCACAATTTCAGTTTTTTAACCGTAACTTCAGATTTTCGAACATAAACCACTCTGGAGATTTTCTTAAATGATGCGCCAATGTATCCTCTACAACACCTATATAGTCGTTGCCCGTCACAATCTCTTTAAAATGGTCCAAATTTTTCTTTTAGTGCCCTACCCCCCACCCCCTTATCTCATTTTGTCAATTTCACAATAAAAATTTTCAGTTTTTTAACCGTAGCTTCAGATTTTCGAACATAAACCACTCTGAAGATTTTCTTACACGATGCGCCAATGTCCCCTCTACAACACCTATATAGTCGTTGCCCGTTACAGTCTCTTCAAATTGGTCCAAAATTAACTTAAATTGGCCTACCCCCCTAATCTCATTTTGTCAATTTCACAATAAAATTTTCAGTTTTTTAACCGTAACTTCAGATTTTCGAACATAAACCACTATGGAAAATTTCCTAAACGTTGCGCCAATGTCTCCTCTACAGTACCTATAGGCAGTCGTTGCCCGTCACAATCTCTATAAATGGGTCAACAATCAACTTAAGGTATCCCCCTTTTCGTTTTTAATTACAATTTTTTCAACCTAACTTCAGATTTTTTTAACATAAACCATCCTGGAATTTGTCTTAATAGATACGCTAATGTCTCAGCTGCATCACCTATGCAGTCGTGTACCGTCACATTCTCTATAAATGGGTAAAAAAAATCAACTTTATGTATGCCCCCTCCTCCCTTTTCGTTTTTAAACTTAACTTCAGATTTTTAAACATAAACCATTCTGGAGTTTGTCTTATTAGATACGATAATGTCTCCTCTATGTTACCTTTACAGTCGTTGCCTGTCACAATCTCTATAAATTGGTCAAAATCTTTATGGTATCCCTTTTGTTTTAATTTTTTTTATTCGTTTTTGTTTAATATTTTGAATATTCTCATAATTGTCCGCTAGGTCTCTGTAATTGTTCGCTAGCTCGAAAAAAACGTGATTGTCTTATGTGAATTGTGGTTTTTAGTTATACCTCCTAATTGTTCGCTGGCTAATTGTTCGCTACAATTGTTCGATAGCTTGAGTCAAGTCTAAAAATTATTGCACAATTTATCAGTGAATTTAAGTCAAATTTTGTACAAATTGTAATTTGTACAATCACTTTTTGTACAAATTACAATTTGTACAAAGTCAAAATACAAATTTTAATTTGTACAAAATAATAACTTGTACACAACATATATATGTTAATGACTTCTATTGTAAGTATATATTATCAAAATATAACTGTTACCTCAACTTAAAGACTTCAAAATGTGTTTAAGTGATAAGGAATTTCACACTAAACCTTCCCCCTTTTTAAAGGATTTCCTTCCAAAATGTTGTAAACACAAAAAAAAAACTGTTGTATCTTAGACTTTGTGTTTAAGTATAAACTAAAGATACTAAAGTAACATCTGTGCTTATGAAAATATATTAAAAAAAAGTTAAAATATCGAGAAATAGGGCGATATCTTTTTGCGCCTAAAATGAACTCAATATGACCTTATCACGTGATTTTCAAAATGGAGTAGACCCCTCTTTTTTTACAAACCTCGAATGTGGATCATTGCCCGATTCTGTCCAATAGCTTAAAATATTTTATTTAAAACTTAGGTTAGCATTTTTTTTTTATTATCAAATAAATTAGTGTAGTAGTAATGTTTCTGTAAATAATTTCAGAATATAGAAATGACAGATACAGAAATTATTGTTTATTTGGATCTGGTTGGTGAACTAGTGAATTACAGTACAATAGTCAAAGTGAAACAACAAAATGCAGAGTGAGTTATTTCATATTTTTTCATGCACCCTTGATAAATTAAAACAACTTTTAGCTTCAAATATTGATCACAGCCTACGAAAGCTGCTTTCTGGCAGAACAAAAGAAAGGTAGGTAGATACATAAAGTCCAAATAATTTTATTTATTTACAAAAACTATGTAGGGAAATATGCTTGACTAAAACACTGATTACTAAAAAGTGCCAATTTAATGTTGTAGGATAGGCATACAATTTAAGGGTAATTTGGGCGACAGGAAATAATATACAATATTTATTTGCACAAACAATTAAATTTTATACATTAAAATGTTATGGTATGAAACAAAATTTATTGGTACAATTATTTAATTGATGTAATTTTCAGTTTAGAAACCTAAACCGGAGAAGACAAAATTCACTAGAATGGTTATTGTGGGAACTAAAACAAATTGATTAGCAACTGCCACGGCGGACATTGATAATACCATTTTGAGACTTATCTTTAACTATATATAACGTATGGGAGTAATCCTATCCAAAGCAGTATCAAATTCTAGAAGTTTTTTATCATGACATTTTATAGAACCAAAAGGAATTTCATATGAATGCCAATGATGTAATTTTTTGTAAAAAAAATAGAAGACATTACTATGGAAAATAACAATTCTAATGGATCAATCAGTTTTAATTATATTAGCAAAGATATATGTACGCAGTTTATAATCAGATAATCTACGTGAATCAAATGTATTTATTTTTAAAACTTTGTGAATAAAATGTAAAGAAATCAAATTTGCTTCTCTTGTTTGTTTTAACCTTTTATACTGAGTATGATTATTAAACATGAATTTTTGCATTTATTGCATACACATGTTGACTTGCATTGATGTAATGTGATGAAAGAATAGTGTATCATGCACGTAAATACGCGGGAATAATGCATGTCAGGCAATTTTCAAAGAAATAGAAGAATCCTACACAAATGTCAAAAAAACCTTAATTCAAGGGCTGGTAATTCATATTTCTGTAAAACAAATGTACCAAAGCAAAGCAAAATCTTAGGTTTCGGCCGAATAAAAATAAACTTCACGTACAACCTAAGCAGGAGAATTTAGTGTCCACATTGCTTTTACAGAACAAGAAATTATGGAAACTATATGTATTGAAAAAGGAGTTTATAGTTAATACTTTACATGTTTACATTCTAAACACATTTAACCTAAATTTAAAACATGTCATCATGCAGACTAAATACTTCAAGGACAAACACGTTTAGACTGTAAGCACTTTCCTAAACATGTTTAGATAGTAAACATGTTTAGCCCCTAACATGTAACCCGAATTCGTTAACATGAAATGTACTTAGAATGTGTTTAGGCCCTAAACACACTTTTTACAGCGTATATAGTACAATTGAAATAATATACTGACAATAATTAAATAAGACCCCGTTCACACTAGGACATTTAGATCGATTTAAACTAGATCGGTTCACTTGAGATCGATTTAAGGGCCAATGTACGTGAACGCTTTGAATCGATCTTTAATCGGTCTAAACTAAAACGCCAAAAGAGGTAGTTTAGTTTGAATCGATATAAAGTGAACCGACTTTAAACTTTAAATGTGAACGCAAAGGTCGGTTTGAACTAGTACGATTGAATCGAAAATAAGTTATGCGCATGTATAGCG